CCATGCCTCAAAATAGGGCTCAGGGATGGAAATACGATCAGAAAAGACAACTCTGCAGTTTTCCTAACATTGGAAAGTATCAAGACTGTGAGTTTCCCAGCACTGATATAACACACCACATAAACTACTAGCAACAGGAACTGACTCACAGATCTGGTAGCCAGGAAGGAAAGTCAAGGTGTGAGCATGTTCTCTCTGAAGTGCTGGAAAGGAGGGTATGCAAAAAAGTCTGTCCATGTCTCCTCCTGATTTCTGGCAGGTACTGGCAATCCCTGGTGCCCCTTGCTTACAGCCACACTACTTCACTTCCTGAGTGCCCCTGTCATGGCTGTCTATATCTTTGCACTGGGTTCTTGGTGTACTCGGCTGTCCCCGAGGACAGGAGTCACAGCACACAAGGACCTACCCGCCTTCAGTATGAACTCACCTTAACCAACATCCTGATTACAACTAGGAAGATTATTGACAAGGTCACAGTCTTATTTGGGGTTCCTATCACTGTGACAAAACTTTGTGATCCAGCTAAGAGTGTTGGCACCACGCCTTTGATCCCAGCACCAGGGACGCGGAGGCAGCTGAATCTCTGAGTTTGAGGCAGACTGGTCTACAAAGTGAATTCCAGGACATTCAGGGCTACACAGAGAGAGACATCCTGTCTTAAAAAAAAAACAAAAAACAAAACCAAACAAACAAACAAAACAAAAAAACCAACCAACAAAATAACCCACCATGGCCGAAAGCAAGTGGGGAGGAAGGTTTTGTTCATGGTCTGTCATCTGGGGAAGTCAGGATAGGAACTCAAGGCAGGAACTTGGAGGCAGACACTGATGCAGAGGCCACAGAGGACTGCTGCTTACTGGTTTGCTCAGCCTGCTTTCTTATACACACCAAGGCCACCTAACCGGGGTGGTACCGCCCACAGGGAGTAGGCCCTCCCACATCCATCATCAATCAAGAGACTGCACCACAGGTGTGCCACAGACCAATCTGTGTTAATGGAGGTTCCCTCTTTTAAAATGGCTGTAGCTTGTGTCAAGTTGACATAAAACTAGGCAACATCATCACATCCACGGGTATTAGAAACTAGAGTTTTAACACTCCTTTGCAGGAGTGGGGATGGGGGGCACCCATGTTGACCCAAAGCACCCGCTTGAGAGACTGTCTCACCTGGGAGAGCTCTAAGTACAAAGGCATGGAAGTCTGCTGGCCTGCCTGGAAAAGAGGTGAGCAGACCCAAGGGTTGAAGAAAGACTGAAAAGCGGAAGGGTCTGGCTTTCCTGGAATGCAGCCAATCTCAGCTCTGCCCATCTTTTTAATTTCTCAGTAATATGACCAATAAAATGTTTTCAAAAAATTTTGGTTAAATGCATTTAGTTTGGGTTTCTTTCACAACATGAGATAACGGGTGCATTCAGCAATGAACATGCTGTGTCATAAGTAGTTTCCCATGATCTATATGGGGTATTTATAAAAAGAGATCAGCCATTAAATCGGGCATAGTGGCACATGCCTGTGATCCTAGTACTTGAAAGTTTAAGGTCACCCACAACTATATAGTGAGTGTGAAGTCAGGCTGGTGAGCATATGGACTCTGAGTGTTATACTAGTCAATCCCAGTTCTTGGTTGATCCCCAGGACAGAGGAGAAAGAGAGCAGGAAGGTAGAATCATACTTAAGCCAGATGAGAAGAAGCCTCCTTAGGAATAATCGCCACACATGGACACACTGGCAGGGTGACTTCTTTGTGATCTGAACCAGGTTATTCTTGTCAGACCCAGGTCCAGACGGCTATAGAGTTAGGACAAGTCGTCAAGCTACTAACCACCTTGTCCCTGCAGAGAAGATCCGGTGCACAGCTTCAGCTCCAGGGGAACCATGGCATGCACTCGGCACTGAGTCGGCTGCTCTGCTCTTCAGAAAGAAATGCATCTTTCTCCCCAGAGAATAGCATGAAATAGTTGGTATGCACAGCTGAGCAACAACGGAAGGATGCTGCTCAAAGAAACCCAAGCATTCTCAATTCTGCTGGAATCACTGGGGATCTTTACAATTAATAATAATAATAATAATAATAATAATAATAATAATCTAGATACCCAGGTTGCATCCCAGACCAATTAAATCACAGTCTCTGGGAGTGGGACCAAAGCACTAACATTTCTAGAAGGCTCCTGGGCGGCTCAGGCTGAGAACATTGCCTTGTGTGAGTCTGGGTCCGTCAGATGGTTCTCTTTGGTTGCATGTCTCACTTCCCCAGGGGACCTCTAAATATTCATCAGTATAATCCCACTTCCTGAGCTACACACATGAGTGGATCTCAATAGATCCACAACCTGACTCCTCACTCTGTTTATCAGTCATCACCATGACAAGACAACATGGTCACGCTGGCTTAAAACAACAGAAGACTTTTCTCACAGATCTGGAAACTGGAAACGCAAATGCCAGCAGGTCATGCTCACTCCGAAGGCTCCAGGGAACAATCCTGCCCATGCCTCTCCTGGACCCCATAGTGTCCAGTAACCATGGTGTTGTCATTTGGCTTGCAGGCACATCTGTCTCTGCCTTCATCCTAACTTGGTGTCCTCCTACCTGCCCGTGAACTTTCTCTTCTGATGAGAACACCATCCATTAGCGATCAGAAGCCCACCAGCTCCAGTGTAGACTTAATGTAGGCAATTAATTTTTAACGATTTATTATAGCTCTAATTATGTGCCGATGTCTGTATCTGTGTATAGGAATGTGTACGTGTAAATGCAGATGCCCTCAGAGTCCAGAATAAGACATTAGAATCCCCGAAGCAGGAGGTCCAGGTGGCTGTGAGCTGCCCAACTTGGGTGCTGAGAACCAAACTCCAGTCCTCTGGGAAATCATCAAGTGTTCTTAACTGCTGAGTCATCTTTCCCACTCCCTTAGCCTAGGTAATCATATCTGCAACAGCCCAGCCCTATTTGCAAATAAAACTGCATACTGAGATTCTAGGATGGATACAAAGGGTTTACAGTTTAATCCCGTGTACTCTTCCTTACCGATGTAAAGGCTTCAGAGAAAAATCACAGAGTTGTCATAAGACCAAACCAAATGAAAGCACACCATCTTTTATGAAAAGTTTATAATCTGAAACCATTTCAGATTGACAGAACAGTTGCAAAAATAGCACAAAGAAGTCGTCTCCTCTCTCCATCCAACTTGTTCCTATCTTATAAAACCATAGAAGGTTTATATAAAACTGGCATAGTGCTACCATCTGAAGTATGCACACGCTGCTATTTCACCACGGTTTCCACCAATGCCCTCCTTATTCAGGATCCAAATTAGAATTCCATATTGATTCACCATAGCATTTTAAGAAAGGAAAAGATCTGAACTGATTTCCATCCAGAGCATCAAACTTCCTTAAGTCTCCCTCGCTTACTCCGGAGGATCTTGGACTCTCCCCTCCTCTGCTCCCCCAGGACCCTGAGTCCTCCTCCCCTTGTTCCCACCAAACTTGAACCTTCCTCCCTTTGCTGCCCCAGGACCTTAGACCCTCCCTCCTTTACTGACCCAGGACCCCATATCCTCTCTCATACTTGTGTTCTGCTGGTTCTGTGTCTCATCCGCATACCTTTCTTGACTGGATCTCACATATCTCAATTAAATTCAAGTTTGTTTTTAATGACCTTGAGGTCACAGGGCCATCTGAGAACCTAACAACTCACAGATTGTCCTCTGGATGCACGTAGACACTAAGGACTTTGTACTTGGTCTCAGAGCAGTTGGCTTTCTATCTCTTTTGCCTCTTATCAAGAGACAGGAGAAGCACCTTAGTATCTCCTTAGGTCATACTGGGTTGGCCCCTGAGGGAGTAGATTCTCATGAACATCAGCACATCTCACTGCTAAGCCTCCCCAACATTTTTCAAGATCCTGGACATGGTAGCAATGTTTTGGACTCTGGTTTTGAAGTACCCCAGCAGCTCCAGCCCCTGCCTTGGGCTGAGACCAAGAACTGACATCCAGGCAAAGATCTGCAAGTGGCAGGATTCCGCCTCCAGCCAACGGGGCTGCCAGTGTAGAATCCCCATAAGCTTTCCTGGACCACTGCCAAGACTACCTCATAGGAAACATCTCAGAACCAAATGCAGCTTAGTTCACACTCCCTGCTCTTAAGTGAATTTTGACAAAGAAAAAGGACTCCAGTATGCAGAACAGTATGGAGAAGCTCTGCCAACTTCTGAGCAGCACTGTGACATGGCAAGGGGCCTTGGTGTCCTTCTATGTTTGGAAGAGACATGAGAGGTCTCGTGATGGGTCAACAGTTATCAATCTGCATGCTTTCTTAAGTGTATACACCAGCCTGTCTAACAGATATCAAGGTTGAAAAACAAAAAACAGTGCTCAAGAGATGGCTCCGTAGTAAAGAGCACCGGCTGCTTTTTCAGAGGACCTGGGTTCAATTCCTAGCACCTACACGGCAGCTCACAACTGTCTGTAACTCCAGTTCCAGGGCATCCGACATCCTCCCACAGACACACAGACATACACACATGCAGGTGAGAAACCAATGTACGTAAAATAAATCTTAAAAAAAAAAAAAACAAATTAAAAAAATAATCTCTTTGCTCTCAGCTTGCTCATGCCTTATCTACCAGCTCCTTCCCCAAGGCCTGCTCTGGCCCACTTCTCATGCCGTTCTCAGATGCTGCCTGTTTTCAGCCACATCTCACAGTCAAGGATAGTCCAAGTGCATTCTGGGCTATGCAACACCTGGTAAAGACCTCCGTGGTCCACTCTGCTCTAAGGGTCACATTTTCTCCAGCTAGGATCACTTCAACACATCCAGGACCAACCAGAAAACCACAGGGTTGGGAGAACAGACGAGGTGATGATGACGACGTTTAACAACAACAATAATGATGATGATCATGATAATAATAATAATAATAATAATAATAATAATAATAATAATAATTCCTACTGACACAGCTGAGTCAAGGGAACAGACCCAGCTGCCTTACCTTCTGCAAACGGTTCCCATTCATAAAACCGGCCCATGAATGGCTTGTTGTTGTAGGATGCACACTGTACCTCCCGGATACTTCTACCACTTTCCGGACACGCCTAATAAAGCAGATATAAAATATGTAGTTAGTGTCCATGCTTTTGTAATCTTAGGATGTCTTTTAACTCTGAATACCAGGTCTCTGCCAACGAAACCGGGGCTTCTGAAAATTTGCTGGTCATCTTTATTAAATTTTTTAGGGCAAGGAGTGTAGCTCAATGGGACGATTGCTACTTTAGTCTGTAGTACCCTAGTCCTGGGTAGCCTAGTACTGCATGAATAAATACATAAGCAAATACAAATAATGAATGAATTTAATGGCTGGGGAGACGGTTCAGTGGTAAAGAGTAAGCATGAGGATCTGAACTTGGGACTCCTCAGAATCCATTTTAGAAAGAAAAATCTACCAACAGTGGCACACACGCATAACCCCAGCACCAGAGAGGCAGAGAATCGAGGCTGGCCAGTCTGGCCAGTTAGTGCAAGACTTCATCTAAAGAAATAAGATGGATAAGGCTCAGGGAGCATTGCAGAGGAGGAGGAGGCAGAAAAGCTGTAAAGGGTCAGAGACTTAGCTGAGAGATTGTGTCTCCTAGTAATATCAGAAGCTATACCTGTGAAGTCTCACCAACATGATCACCCAAATGTGAGCTGAACAAGGATGACGCCAATGCACATGTCAAACTGCACTGGGAAAAGCCCATGAGGCCTCAATCCTACACAAAGGACTATGGGCACCTGAGGAGAGATAGGAGTGGGAGAGGTGGGCTTCCCCAGGGAAGAGCACACCAAATGGTCAGCCCTGAACACATACATACAAGGAGCAACATATGGACTCAACAGGTTATATTGAGGAATGCATATGTATATACAAATAATATATGCATGTAATAACAATTTGTGAAAAAAAGAAGTCATTTATCTGGAGGGGAGTGGGGAGGAGTGTATGGGAAAGTTTGGAGGGAGGAAAGGGAAGGGAGAGATGTTGCAATTAAATTATCAAAAATAAAAAATAATCAAAAAGATAATCAACCTCTGGCCTCCATATACCCATGCACAAACCTACATGCATACCTGGCCATGTGCACACACAGGCACACATGGGAAAAACTGAAGACTAATCCCATGCAGACCTCGAGGCTGCACTGCAGGCTAGAAGCACTGTGAGAAGGCCAATGCTTCTTCTCTCTCCCAGGTTCACTTCTGGCAAACCATCTGCCAAGCCTCTGGCTTCCCTCTCTCGTAAAGTCAATGCTGGCACATGTCCTTCACCTAGCATGGAACAGTGTCCACAGCTAACAGGGGCACTGTTCCATGGGCCCTCGGCCAGGCCCTCTTCAAATGTATTTCACACGTCACTCATTCGGTCCTCACAGCCACTGATAGGGTAAATGTCACTGTTTCATAGATTTGAGTTTTTCAGGGACCGGCCAACCGGGCACAGAGATGACTGATGTGGAGCTCGGGAGGGACCTAGATGTCATTCTGGACAGGGTGGAGTCATCCAGGGCTCGGCTCTTTATTCTCTGATCTTGTCATGTCTCAGTTCTGTCTAGCCTCAAAAGCAGGAGCTCCCAACCTCCAACATGCATGAAAAATACCTAGAGATCTTGATCCCTGGAGCCCTCTCCAAGTGATTTCTACCCTACAACTCTAGGATGAGGTCTATGAATCTGTACTTTATCAAGTGTGTCCAGGAGACTCTGATACCCAAAGAAAGCAGGCAGTTCCATGTGGCATATTTCTATCTAGTTTGTAGAAGGCAAACACGGCAGTGTGTGATATGAAATAGATGGACAAGAATAGAAGCACTAAATCATTGTTGGTCAAGTCTGACCTGTCATTTCAAAACCCAGCTACATCCTGTTTCAATGGTGTGTGTACCTGTGTGTATGTGGGATGTGTATGTCTGTGTATGTATGTGTGTGTGTGTGTGTGTGTGTGTGTGTGTGTGTGTGTGTAGTGTGCATATGTGTGAATGTGTGTGTGTATATTTCTGTGTGTATACATGTGTATATGTGTGTGTTTGTGTATGTATGTGTATATAAGTGTGTGTGTGTGTGTGTGTGTGTGTGTGTGTGTGTGTGTGTGTGTGTGTATGTGTAACAGAAGGGAAGGGAAAGGAGCCCCTTGGCCTCTTAAACATTACAAAGCACTATGCATAGAAGTTTCCAGACTGAACTGCTAATACTTCAAAATTCTCAAGGGTTTATATAAAGAATTATGATGTATGTCATCAGAAGCATAAGATCTTCTGGAAGATGAAAGGATAGGGGGAGGATGAGACCCAGCAGGAGGAGGCCATCCCCTGCTAGGGGACAGTGGAAGAAGGCTGCTGGTCCCCACCTCTGGGTAGCCAGAACCTGCTTGGCCTCATGCAAACCATATCCCACAAGAGTCCATTTGAGGCAGAGTGAAGGAATCAGTGAGGAGAGGGACTGGGTGGGCAGGCAGTGTGGGCTGAGCTCTTACAATCCATGAGGAACTGATAGATGGCGAAGTCCCATCTCCTAGGGCTCTGGAAGCCTACCTGCTGGCCACCTTGACTACAGACATACAGATGCTCCTAACAATAGCAGCTGTCCCCAGAAAAAGATCTGTTTCATTTTCGAGACCAAGTTTTATATAGCCCATGTTAGCCTCATGGGAGACATTGTAGCCCAGGCTGGCCTTAAACTCCTAGCCTCCTGCTTTCATCTCTCAAGTGCTGGAATTGCAGGCCTGAGCCGCTGTACTCAGATAAGACTCAGGACAAGATGTGTTTCATGCCCTCTTTCCAGGAGTCAAGTACAGTTAGCAAGTGATCAGTTAAGTGACTTGAAAAAGTCACCATCCCTGCATCAGTCCCCAAATTTGTCTGAGAGACAAACAGACAAACAACACTAGGACTTGTTTTAAAAAGCACAGCTTCCTGGGCTGGTGAGATGGCTCTGTGGGCAAAGGCACTGGCCACCAAGCCCAGCGGCCTAAGTCAACCCCTGCGACCCACGTGTAGAAGGGGAAAACTGTTCGGCCAGAACCTCCTGCTCACTCCTGCCTAATCCAGAAAGCCCCATTCCTCTTTCTCCCAACCCCACCCTGTCAGAGAATCTCCAAGCAAAGAGCCCAGTTCCGAATTCTTGGCGGCTCCGGCAGGCAGCTCCTCCTGAGTTGCAAGGAGCCCAAGACCCCGCCTTAAGCGGTCAGCTTTTGACCACACTTGCGCACAAACCCGGCTTGTGGAGGACATGTCTTCACCCATTGCCTACAGGGTATATAAGCTCCCTGCTTTAGTTCTGTGCATGACTTCTCCTGCCTGGATTTCTGGGGCTGGAGAATTCACCCGGGAGTTGCTTTGTTCAAATCCGTTCTCCTACTTTTTCAATTCGGCCTAATCTGGCTCACGGCATCACTGGAGAAACCTATTACCATGATACAGAAAACCTATTAAAAGCCAACTCCTGTAAGCTCTCCTCTTATCTCTATATAAATTTTCTGGCATGCACTCAAACACACACAAAGTCAATAAATAAAAATATAATTAAAAAAATTAAAAATACCTTCTTGGGCCCTACACCAGCTGCAGGTGGGAAGAAGGCAATAAGAGAGCTTCCCTGGTAATGTTGGTGTACCAGTCCCGGCCCCAGGCTGTACAGCAGCACTAAAGAGCCACGCCTACCTCAGTCTCTCTCCACATCAAATAACCCAGAAACGTGGACCTGCGGAGCGTCAAACTAAAGCCCTTTAACCTACAGATGTGAACACTGAGGCCAGAGAAGTGGTATACCTACCTAAGATCCCACAGGACACAGAGGCAGGGTCCAGAGACTGACCACAGCCAGACCAGGGTTTCCCTACAGAAACAGACCATACCAAAGGGCCAAATGCTCTGTTTCATGAATAACCACACCTGCATAAAGCCGAGCTGATCCACGATGGGGCTCTGGCTAGAAGCCAGCCTTCACGAACCTGGCAGCACATGTCAAAACTGAAGATTACAGGCCACAGAGACAGTCTGCTTCATACCTCTCTGTGAACAGAATGGTAGTTTGAATGGGAGTGGCTCTTACAGGCGCCTACATTTGACTACTTGTTCTCCAGTAGATGGAAGAGTTTGGAAAGGGTTAGGAAGTATGGCCTTGGAGGAGGTGTGTCACTGAGGGGAACCGCAAATGTGTACAGCTACTGTGGAAATCAGCGTGGCAGTTCCTTGGGGAGATGGGAAATGATCCACCTCAAGATCCAGCTATACCACTCGTGGGCATATACCTATATTGTGTTTTAATTATTGTCCCTTAGAAGCCTATTTGTTTTCCAAGGAGAGACAGAAAGGGACCGGATCCAGAATGGAAGGGAGGTAGGGAGGAACCAGGAGAAGAGGGAAGAGAAAACATAGTCAGAATATATTGTGTGAGAAAAAAGAAACTATTTTCCAATGAAAGGGAGGAGGGAGGGAGGGAGGGAAGGAGGGAGGGAGGGAGGGAGGGAGGGAGGAGAAGGAAGGAAGGAAGGAAGGGAGGGAGGGAGAAGGGAGGGAGAAGGGAGGGAGGGGAGGAAGGCAGGCAGGCATGAAGGAGGGAGGGAAGGAGGGAGGGAGGGAGGGAGGGAAGGGAACAACCCCTGTAGCAAGGGTCTTGAAGAGGAAGAGCCACTACAGGATTTGTTAGCAGACTGCTTCTTGGGGCTGGGGTGACAGCTCCCTTGGCAATGTGCTTGCAGAAGACAAAATTCATAGCCCTAAATGGGATGTCTACATCACATTCCTCCCTCAAGGCTTAGGAATCTATGAGGAAGAGGGTGGGGGAGATTTTAAGAGCCAGAGATGAATGACTTCAAGGAAATAGCACTTTCCAGACATAAAGAGCGGATACACATAGGAATTCAAAGGGACCCTGAGAGCATGCGCAAGTTCAAACCTGACAGCGTGGAGGAAAAAGTGGACATGGAGCCCCAGCCCCAGCCAAGGAGTTACTGCCATTGGAGGAGTGCTGGGAGAGGGGAAGTCAGCTTCTTCCACGACGACGACGACGACGATGATGACGACGACGACGTCGTGGTACCTGGTGTATCAACCACACTC